TAAAGAAAAAGTTAAAGATTGTCACTACGCAAAATTGATCGTTGTTTATATTTTTATTACCAAATTGGGTGTACGCGCCATAATACAAAACAAATAAACAAAGTTAATCGTCAGAACCAGGGCATTTATTTTTTTAAAAAGATATGCTAATTGATATGTCCGATCTTGAGAAAATCAAAAAAAGCTTGACCGGATACTTTTGATAGGGTAGTGTATGAAGGTCTGGGTTGGTTTGTTTTTGCTGTCGAAATTCTTTGTGTAGAGATCTTACACACATACTTTATACAGTTTCTGACAGAACTGGTTGACGAGAGGGTAGATTGGTTTTTGGACGAATTGGTTGCAGAAATGGAGGCGAGAAGAGTATCCATTCCGACTCTGCGCCGTTCGTTAAAATTTTGTGGGATTACGCAAAAAGTACTAACAATTTTGATCATAGGTGTCGAAGTCTTTTTTTTTTTTTGTATTCTATCATACAGATAACTAAGGCAGCAGCGGAAAGAATGAGTTGTTACGTAGCGCATTTGTTGTTGAAATCGGCACTGGTTACATGCCCGAACAATTCATTCTCATTGATGAAAGCGCCAAAGATAAACGTACTCTTTCACGCAGATACGGATATTCATATGTGAATACAAGAGCTCGATTGAGAATAGCATTTAATCCTCCATGTAACTAAAAAGGCAAAGCAGGACATGTCAGGTCTATCACAGAATAAAAAGTCTCAGCAATCAACCATAACCATACAATGTTGTGAGCCCAAAGTTTGAGATGTGAGGGTGGTTGTAACTTTGAATCAGCCAGGGTCGTTCGTGTTGCAAACAGTGATATTTTTCCGTAACTCAATTATTGTTTCGGCAATATGTATTTTGCCTTAGCATGCTGAATCATCGTGTTTATTCGAAAATGTCACGTGAAAATTGTAATCACTGTAATCACAATAACCACTAAAATTTTAGGTGTTCCAGCATTTTGAAAACCGCAATAAAATGGCAACTAATCTACACATTACGTGAAGGAAAAGGCATTGCTGCCTCAACTCTAAGAAAAGGAGAGGACGTTGATAGCATTAACAATACTGCGTAACATAGATTCACTAGCTATAGGGGTATTTCCAAGCCACAATTGCTCGATGTTCACTTTGTCTGGTTTTGTTGCATATTATATAATAATAAGCCCATTCAGGTCGATCTTTAAGGATTTTTGGTCGATCTATAACCATGAATAGCTAGATAAACGTCCAAGCGGTACACACGGATCGCTACCATGGTGTGACAAGTGCTCCCCGCTTTTTTGAGATGTTGAGATGCAAGACGGTTTAGATCATTAATAAATTCGCGCGCTAATAATATTGGAGTTTTTGGTTTTTACTATCCATCCAGATGCTGAATTATATTTGTGTCTATTTTATATTATTGTATATCGAACAAGAATTACAAGAGTGTAAATTTACATTCGACAATTTCTGTATTTTATTGGTAAAACGGTTTATAAATATGGCATAGACGGTATAAATATGGTTAGCGTATGCAGTTTTGTTTGGTAAAAGTTTTGGTTATAATGAGTGTAATAATTTCTAGGGGTCTTTATGAATCTATTTATAAGTCTAAATAGTTATCGTGTAACAGAGATATCTGGATCGCGGAATTCATCTCCGATCCACCTTCCGATAAAATCCCTATTTACAAGCATTGCCTACTAGACTCACATCTGTTTATCGTGTAATTAAACCGAGTTTATTCGATTCTATGCATGTTAACCATATCTCTAGTTTTAAAACTATAATCAATTAGCTCTAAAATGATACAAAAGTTATTATTGCTTACATAGTTTGATGTTCGCCGTCAACAATCAGCGATCTTCAATTTACGGATACGGTGCATTCCCGCACTTGCTTCTTGAGACTCCTGACAATATTCTCTTAGAGGCTAGTGGGGGTTATACTGTGCTGTAAAGATAACTACACTTGTAGAAGGCTTGGCATTCGCCTTCTGTTATAGACGTCAACAGATTATTACTTAATTACGATACTTGTGATATGCGTTATTGAAGAAACCACTGTCGGGGAAATAATCGGGGAAACAGCCGGGGAAACAGCCGGGGAAATAATCGGGGAAATAGTCGGGGAAAGAAACAGACACTATTAATTGTTCAAAAACGGATTTGTCCAAAAATTCTTAGACCAACACTAAGTAGCATGTAGATTTGTCTGTCAATTATGTATTACAATATTAGCCTGCATCTTTTAATGTAATTTCTAAATTTGCGTGTTATTGTAACACCCGAGTTAAAAAATATTGGTTCTAGAAAGATCATAGTTGTTAACATTTCGAATATATTTAACGTTGGGCTAAATATAAAAGCTTTGACATCGCATACTGTTTCGACAGTACGACGCTTTACGCTACTGTTATAACTGCAACTTGATCATTTATACTAATCAACTACCATGGAGAAATGGAGTTTTCGGGTAATTTTTCTAATATTAAGCAATAGTCTGTGTAAATATAATAATACACTACGTTTTACTAATTATTATGTAGGAGGATAATGCTTTGATCGAACTCTATAGCGTATGCGGTTTCCAATGGATAACTATATCTCGTATGATGGGTACCAAATCTGCTTATCAATGTGCTCAAAGGTAAACATTGGCTATACATTTCAGTTTGGGACCTGTCTCAGTTCTGGACTGAGATAGTCCCGAACTGAGGTTAAAAAAGTTTATATTTTATCCGTTGTAACATATTGTTGACTGTTTGAACTATACATAACACATTATCTATACTGATTAGATGGCGTAATGCACTACAACCTGGAAGTATGTATTATAATTTGCTCTTATTAAAAAAAAGCAAAGTTTATGTATAATTTCATTAATTTACATTGTTATAACCGTTATCTGTTATGTCCATTTGAATAAACAGTCGACACAAACCCGTTTGCTCTACTCGAACGCGATGCGGTTAAAGAGCTGTACCGTATCCATGGTGCTAGATGGGCTAGAATTTCCTTGTGTCTCCCTGGTCGTACTCCAAAAATGGTAAAGGCCATCTGGGAGCAGATGCAAGCGGAAGAAGAACGTATCCGAGTCCAAATGTCGATACCGAGATTATTAAATTGACATTTATTACTCTATATTAATATGTCATAAGACTACAGATTTCTTAACTATGATTATATGGTTTAAATTAAAATAAACATGTAGTGTTACGACGTTTGTCTTTAGAATAAAAAATATATACTAACATTCTTATTACACGTACGCAATTTAAGTATCAACCTTCTTTAAAAGTATAATATGCTGGGAGATCGCTAATTCAAAAATCGTGTAATTGTTGTATCTCAGTTTGGGACCTGTCTCAGTTCTGGACCGAGACAACTGAGACAGGTGAAACCCTCCATAAATGCACGCATCTCTCATTCCCAAGCTCGGGAGTTAGCGTAATGCACACTTTTGCACTGATAAACGTTTTTCGCAATGTGTTATCATAACTGCGCCCGAGAAATACACGTGATATTAAGATGTTACATCGAATATTAAATTGTGTCACTACTGTGAACAAAGGGAAATTACTGTTCTGATTGGCTGTTTTTTTACAACATAGAGAATAAAAAGTCCGTTGTGTGCCCGTTTTTATTTCAGGATGGACGAAGAGTTATAAGATTAATTAGCGACATAACTTAATTTATTTAACGTGCAGCTACATGAATCTTATTATTATATACAGTTAACACTGTTTATACCGAACTGCCCGGCTGAAGAGTTTTCGTTCGTTATAACCCGAGTTCGCTATTACCAGAGATTCGTTAGATCCAGAGTTATTAACGTTAATTATAAAAAATCGGTTCTGACAATTTTGGTTCGTTATATCCAGAGTTCGGTATAAACAGTGCAAACAACCTGTCAACATCTTGCTCGTCAGATCAAATTCACTTTTTAAATCATCTATGTCAGGTTTAAACCATTTGTTGCCATGAAATCGTACAATGTGATAGATCAAATATTAAATATGAGAAGCGGTCGTGCAAAACAGTCGAAAAAAAGAATAACATTGCTCTGGATCAACTACATGGGTGTCACTGGCAAGAGACCACCATACTATGGCGCTAGGTGATCCTAGCGGCTGCCTCTTTCAAGCATCGACCACACACTGATAGAATACCAGTGGAAAGGCTGTGGTAATGCGTAGGATGTTGCATGATGCATGATATAACTGATAAAAAACTCTATACTTATATGTTTCCCGAGGCAACGCCAGAAAGATAAATAGCTCAATAATGACGGCTGCTCAACGTTTGTAAAAATTGCAGCTGGTCGTTTTTAAGACCAGTTTGAGTAGTTTTCTAAACAGAAAGATTCCGTGCAATCACGAATGAAGTATACGTAACCGGTAGGAATGCATGTTCTTTTGGTACAGCTATCGAGCGTATAAAGGCTCTAAAGCCACAAAAAACTGCGCAATTTGGTATTGTTTTAGTCGACAAATAATGATGATGATGATGATCATATTGCAAGGGAGAGAAGCAATCGGCCCCTAGACCTTGCCTTGAAAGGCGATAACTGTCCCTGTTCTTTGGGCTCGCTCAGCTATTAATTTCCGCCTCCTCCTCGCTATAATCTTTCCTCTCGTTTTCTACCCAAGACGCTATCAATTTTAAGGGTGTGGGCTTGGTATTTGTTTTTGTGTTTCGATCTCGCTCTTAATCTTGCGGTACATTTCGGAAAGGCTAATGTCGAGTTTTCTCTTCGCTTCAAAAAGTTGGTTAAACTCGTTCCAACGTCTCCCTCGTATGATTTGGTTGGTTTGAAGGAGCTACAAACACTTCTTTTCAATAGTATTGAGTTTCTCAACCACCACATTATATGCCGCAGCTTGTTGGCGGTTCTGATATATGAAAAGCATGCAATGGTCACAATTGCATGCGAGCTGCTCTTGGTCGCGAGCACCCAAGCAAGGGCGCGACAGCTTCTGCAACTTTGTAGAGGAATGTCTACCAATGGAAATGCAATTAGCATCCATGTCTGCAGACTCTTGTCAGAAGAAGATATGACGAACCATATTTATTTGACAAAAGCTTTTTTGGATAGTGCAAACGTTTTGCTTGTGATTAGAAAAACTATATAGAGTCTTTTTGTGTAGCTGAAAATACGTTGCTGCAAGTGTTTTTGTTTTTTCGTGAATGTGAATTCATCGCTTTTGTACACGGATGCTAGTCGCATTCTCTTAAAACATAGCAATACGTTCTCAAATTAGTGCATTTGGCTGTACTTTTTTTGTAGAACCTTTGAAGCGTTGTTTATTCGTTGTTTATGCGAGCCAAATATAACGGTGTAATGAAATGGTAACAATAACAAGTCTTGTATTCAAAAATCTACTCTTTGTTTCTAACTGTTCTGCTCTCTATTTTCAATACGCAATGGCGTATTTAGTCAATAAAATAATTTTTTTCAGTGCAATTGATTTTAGTATTAACACAAAGTCGGATTTAACGGACGCTTCTCTCATATTGTACAGCAAGTTTTTAACAATCTTTCCTAGTTAAAAAATTCCCACAGGCAACATGTTAGCTTCTTCTATTAGCCTAGAAATTAAGCACCATTCTTCAATGTCACAATAAAAGCTTAGTTTTCGGAACAGTTTCCTTCGTAACCCGAGCTTTTTGTAAGATTTGAGATTTCGGGTTCTTTATTGTCTTCTTGCTTTCATTATTCTCTTGAAAAAAATTTTCGACATTGCGGGTAATATCGTACATAAAAATTACTCTACTGTCAATGAGTTTATTACTTCATCCTAGCTAAGTTTATTTGGGACATCTGTTCTTGTATGGCGAGATTATACGCCGACTTGCCTGCTTACTTTATTTCTCACGATCACAAATTTTCGTTAAAGATAAGGCAAAGACACATGTGTAAACAATAGTATTATGCTTAACTGTTGAAACAACATGAGTAGCCTAATTTACCATCTCAAAGACCGGATACGTATTTCACGGTCTTTTACGTACGGCCTGAAGGTTGTCACTTTAGCTTTCCAACTGACCAAATAACTTTTCTTTCGATGAAAAGATTAAGCTTCACAAGCTAGTCGTTTTCGCTAAGCAAGTGGGCTGAATTATCGCAGATCATTAACCCTTTTGTCGTGATTGAATGGCTATGAAGAGTCTCCGAATGGAAATTTATAGACAAAGCACGAAAAAAAAAAGGTTAAACAGACAGGTTTATTCTGCTATTGGTAGTTTTTATTAGCAGAGTGTCAGTTGACCACTGCCGCCACGTATAATTGATTAGCGCAACATCTATTTTCCTATCTACGTGAAACTAATAGTTTTGCATACGTGTTATAGTACAAAAAAGGTTTGTTTAATATCTGATTTAACGGGGTAGTTCCAAGAATAGGGTTTTTAATCAAAATAACTTTCGCCAAGAAATTTCAACATGCAAACAAGTTTGGATGATTTTATTGGCTAAATCCCAATTTCAAACAGACCCCGTTACACAAAATTCCAGTGTTAAAACATCGCATGTATATGGGAAATTGTCTTTCAAATAGTAAGCAGCTTACAATCGATAATTTGCCTTTCGCATTGCCATGTTTAATTAATTGAAAATCTTTTTGTCCATTAGAAAGTTGTTTACTGCACCGCGAGCTTATTTTCTGGCCGATAATAGAAAGAATTTCTTTAAATAGACATGTCTGTAAATAGCTAGGGCTGTAAACAATGATAGACGTTTGTTGTACGAGAATGGTAAGTATGCGAGATCAATTTTAAATAATGTTCAACAATAGAAAGAGTTCCCCCCTTTTTTACTGCAAATTAATGCACATATTTACCGAGGAATCTCAGTGTGTTTAGACCCGTAAGACAACTAATGGGGTGACTTTGTGTTTCTGCCCACCAAATTCGTTTCTACAATTGAATATATTATCTCTATTATGCTTTTACTATGGACCAACCCTCGATGTGCTATTTATACCGTACATTAATGGCGTAAGCACACAGCAGTCGATAATTTTAGAAGGCATGTTGGACGAAGCCATTTTCAAACCAGTTTTTTAAAGACAGGACTCGATACACAAAATCCTCAACAAATATTAATCGAATATAGATAGTAATAAATAGCTTGTGGACAATTTGAAAGATCCAACGATAATACTTTTAGCACATGGGACAACAAATCGACGCCCATTGAAGACATTAAAGTTCGTACGACATAGATCTATGGGCCACACATTATCTATACTATTATGCGTAACTTACGTAATCAAACTAATAATGTCACCATTAAAATATCGTTCTTATCTCTTTCATCTTGAGGGCTAGGCCGTAGATGCAGCAAAGCCATACAGACGTCCAGGACCATGACTCTCTTTGTTCACATTCTAGCAATATATGGCAAGAAGAACTACGTCAGTGTTGTAAGACAAATCATAAAAAACAGCTTGATTATTTGATAAATATAAATCAACCAATAAGTATTCCACTGTCTAACAAACAAATAAATAAGGACCCTACGTACTCGTGCACACACAGCACTACCGTAACTAATTGATCATGTGGGGGCATATCAAGTTTACAGAGGTCAATGACTTTATTATTAGCTACAAACGAAGTCGTCGCCCGTGTTATACAGCTAACAAGCATGCAGCTACGTGGGAGCGGAACTTTTTTCCGTCTACATAATAGTAACGAGTTAATAATTGTACTAAATAAACATCAGCCTTGATGTTATGTAATTAATCACCAGATGGACCTTGTACGATGGCACTCTATTTTTACAGAGCCTAACAAACCGAATTAGAAAGGCTTGCATGCATACTTTATCGCCTTCGTGTTACATCTCTTGCAGGCGCGTACCTCAACCCCTACAGAATAAGGTGACATTTTTGCATATTACTGCGTTGTATTAGACATTCTTTATTAGGGGATTCTGCACGATATTATTATCTTGGCGCATGTCTAACAATTGGACTTAGCAAAAAGCATACTAAAGGGTCTTGAGATATTGTTTATACTTGTCCTATAAAGTACTAGAGAACAACTACCTGTTGTGACAGAGCGAACAAATGTAGTATAAGGCAGGGGACATTCTCGGTCTTTCAAGAAGCTAAAAAAAGTAACCAATAATTGATGAACCAATGATGAAATAATACACCCTTGTTTTCCTCAACGAATGTTTTCTCCACAAAGTGAATACGAAATGAATACGATATTTGGTATTTAGTATCTCAAACTGTACACATAATGCATATAAAATTAATTATTATGTAACTTGCAAAAAAAAAAAAACTAAGTATATAAAGACTTGCCATCTCCTCCCATCGTCTTCTCATTGTAGTAAACTACATAAAGGAGTATAAGTCCCATTCAATACTTCCACGTCGCATTACCGCCTTAACGTCTAATAAGCTATATCGAAATGAAGACCTTTTTGTTGATCACGCTCCTCGCCCTTGTGGCATTCTCGATGATTCATTCGACTGACGCATGCTTCGAACAAGACAATGCTAAAAAGGCCGCAGCATTGAATAAAAAATTCAGCAAAGTCAAGGTGACGGACAAATGTACACTCAGTGAATTTGGCTGTATTGGCAAGAAGTTTGCTATCTGTGGCAATAGCGGATGGGTTACGTTCGACTGCCCAGTTACTACGCAATGCAGTTTTCTTCCTCTTGTTAACAAGCCTGGTACCTCGTGTACTTGCGGTGTGTATTTATTTCTCGTTTTTCTTCGTGTTATTACTTTAGTACAAATTAAACCATGATTACTCATAAAATTTACAATTAACTACCTTAATAGATACCCCGAACGATATTGCATTACGCTTTAGCCTTGCCAAACAGTGCCGAGGAAAGACTGGTTAAATAGACGCTATCAAATTAGAACGTTATAATATTTATTGTTTTTATTACTCTTCCCCCCTGTTCTCTATTATAAAGTCATGAGTGCAGTCAATGAGAAAGTCAAAGAAGACTTTTAAATAATTTGTTCGAATACTGATCAAGCTTCGAATGTAGAAAGATATTTTAAATTTGTCTTGTAATAAATTTATTTATTTATACGATAATGTTGGGCTCATCATAAATTCTGGCTCGAAATTTGATCTAATTATACAATATTTTCGACTCTTTTGACATTTTATCTACTGTATGGTTCAATTGTGCTCGATAAGCCGAGTATGCAAACGCCTGGATGCGAAATATTTGAAGGAAAGTTAGGCGTAAGGATAGAAATGTGAACAATTTACTCACATCAACAATAAAATTTATGACTAAAATTTCAAGAGCTTGTTTAAATATACTAGCAACGTTTGATGTTATTTAAAAAGATTCACTGCATAGACTTCGACCATACGATGTATTGAAACATTGAACAATTCAATCAGAGTCCTGCAGAATATTATTGATCCGTCTTTGTTCAAGACTCGGTATTAGAAAGTCAAGGGTAACAAGGACGATTTGTCTACTATTTTTAATTTGTTCCAAAGAGAACATATACAGTATATAACCTAACATCTTGTTTTCGCTTCAAAAAAAAAGTATGAGATAAGCAACAAATGGTCTAGATGTAAATCTACCGATCATGCATGCATGCACATTTCAATCCTGCATTCCTTAACTTTATATTATTTAGGGTAATGATGGCTACTATTTTGCCTTATCAGACTAGCACAAAGACTTAATTCTCTGCAGTTTAACAGTTTAACACACTCTCAGCTGCCGTTTTAGGAACTCTTAATATCATGCATGCAAAACGTGTGTTAACGATCTATATGAGCTGAATAATATGAATTCGCTGTCTGCTATAGGAAATGCATCTATATAGACAATCATTTCACACTTCACCGACAGTCATTTCACGTGACACATTGTTTATCGCACTTATATGAAATTTATGTCGGTGAAACGTACTGTCGGTGAAATGATTGTCGATGAAATGAACCGGACCCCCTCTATATCTGAAATTTAAACCACTACCTTGTCTTCTCCATAATAATTACAATTCATTTTTTCCATATTGATATACTGTCATAATTAACAATAACAATTTCTTTATTATTATCTTAAACATTAACTTTGTAACTATTGCTATTCAATATTATTTCATCTGCACATATTCTCTAGGCTTCTTAGCCAAGCTCTTTATTGTACCTATGTATGCCTAGCATATATGTTAAAACTAGCTCTAGCGGGTAACCGTAGTTAGACAACAAAGTTCTATATTATAGAAATGAACCGGACCCATATTAATATAGACGGATATGTGATCAAATTAAAATTCACTAAATTTATTACAAACTCCACTGTTCTCTATATACTGTTTATATGCGTTTTTCGGAAAGCTAGAGTTGTTTACTCTCTAGCTTATTATTATCAGGTTAATTGCCACGATACTTTCCAGATATGACAACTTTTCCGACACTACAGATAAACCTCTTTAAGAGCATACATACTCCATAAAGGCACCATTTGACATAGTTCCGAGCTTGAAACCCAGTGATAATATTGCAATGAGTTTTAGACCTGTCCATATAAAAATGTCCTCACGTAATCTCTACGAACAGTGGGAGACCCGGAGTGTTCTGATGACTTGCGTAAAATAATTAATGAGTTTTATCTCTCAGACCTAATGCAGTTTCTGTTTATTCTTAATGACAATGTTGTGCATAATATTTCAGACAATGACCAACTCATTACAGAAATCGTAGAGACTTTAGAGGAGAAATTGATATCGAAAAAGAACCGAGGTAACTATTGTCATTAGCAGTTAGCGCGTTAAAAAACTTGGAAAATGTACGCTCATTTGTTGATACGGCGGGAAGACACAAGTTAACGGATAAGACTAGCAAACAGTCTTAAAAAAATTGTCAATAAGGCAAACAACTATAAACCAATATTAATAATTAAAATAATTTATAGAGTATCTGAAAAGTTTTGACAATGTACAATTATTACGATAATCTGTGCACTTATTCAATGCAACACAAAAACTTGGTACAATTGGTTGACAGTTGCTGAGAAATTTGCCTCGAAAAATCGTACCCTAAAACTAATAGAGAATACTACATAAAAGCACCAAGCGTTACTACATTTTTGTGAGCTGGAAAAATAGCCGAACCGTGAAACAAATTTACCAGGAGTTGAGGACCGACCTACTCAGAACGTCCTTGCAAAACTGTCACCCCGAAAGTGGAGGAATTAGTATGTGATAACCTCACATTACTGTAAAGAAGAAGTTGGAATCTCTAAAAAAAGAATTGAGTACATCTTACATAGTCAATTGATTTTAATAAAGTAGGTAGCAGTAAATGCTCTGGGTCTCACACGATATTTATCTTAATAAACTTTTATTCAGCCTTAACTGACGAAATAACTTCACTCTTGGCGGTCCGCTTTCTGCTGATACTATAGCTATAAAAGCGCGTAGGTCGAAATACGTCATTTATTCGATTTATCGGAGTTATAATACATATTAGATATGAATAACTATTGACTTGGAATAAAATTTTTCCGTCACAACTACGGATTAACTCTAATTTATGAGATATTTAGACTAAATTGCATTAATTCAAAGTAAAGAGGTTTTCGTCTTAACAGGGATCGGTTTGTTGACCTTGTATTAAAGTTACACTAACAAATATAATAATAACGTTATTGTCTATAAACTTCCACGTAGCTTGGACATACTAAAAATGACCATTCTTTCTTTAATCCAATTGTCCGAACAAACATGTGAACGCTCAAGATGCTATAGAGTTAAACAAAATTTTGAGCGAATGACGTCTAATAATTTTTGCACTGATAGGAATGTAGCCTGCGTTAAGGTCAATTTGCCAAATGCGATTAGGGCGCATATGTGCTGTCACATGCGCATCAACCTTGAAATGCTTTCTCTTCCTCTGTTACTTGCGGTACATATTATTGCTTTTGTAAGGTATTTCGACAAATTACTAATTAAATGTAGTCTTTCTAACTTTAATTTAAAGCTCAATATTCTAACTACTGTCTAATATATTTTGCATGCTAGTCTTGTTAATAAATTATTGCTATTAAGTTTTTAATAAATTTAATTCTGCTTATACAGCGGGTACTCAAAAGTCTCCGACCACCCCTACCGATTAATTAGTAAAACGTAGATTTTCCCCCCGAAAATCTCTATTGGCCGCATTTACTAAACTAATAACAAAATTTTTTGTACAGGAATGAAGCTAATTGACAGTGGTTTTCAGGAAAAATAATGATAAATTCAAGAAAGTTGTCGTGATAAAGCACAGTATCGTTTATTTCTTGATCTATAGCAATGCACGAAGCGACAATGGCGGAATAATTATAAATAGAATTAGACGATAATACATGAGAACAAGCATCAAGGTTGACTTGAATTGCAAAGAATAGAACAACTGGATTCAGCAAAAGTTCATTTATAAAATTATTTTCTACAGTTTGATATTTTATTCTTGGGCTTGTTACAACAATTGACAATTTGCTTACCAATGTCAGGATTCTCCGTGATTTCCGCTTAGTGATACAAGAATCTCCAGATATATCCAATTCTCTTGACTACCACAAGATGTCCATAGTGCAACCTTCCCCATATATCCAGTTTTCTTGACAGCTGTAGAACGTAGATTAGTTATAAATACGAGTCGTAGATA